TCTTTGGGTGAGGGATATCTTTGATAGGAGGTCGATAGAACGGGCAATGAGTTGACTAAGGTCTCTGGAGATATCGCGGCATCACCTCGACATTTCAATGGTACAGTAATTGTATCGGCGTTTGTCCAGTCAACGGATATATCCCTTCAAAGCAAAGGTGGTACAGTGATACATGGCATGATGGTGGCCACCAAAAGCAATAAGTTGGGGTAGTACCACCGTCTTGCCTTCCAGAAGCCTTCTACGAAAGCTTGCATAGCGCCACGACCACTGTTGAAGCAACGACAAATCCTTATTTCAGAAAGTGTCAACAGGGCCCGCCAATCAAAGCATATCAAATCCGACTTATCTTTCCCAAGTCCCAGTCCTTGGCCGAAGAAGCCAGCTCGATTGCATAGCAGGGGTTGCACGGGATTGTCTATGTGTACCAAGACGGACTAGAGCTGGCTGCCACTGCAGCGGGTAAATTATCGACTAGGTTGGTTGGTACTCACTGCTGCCCCCGTCAAGCCTCTCATCTCTAAGCATCTCTACCCCCTCCCGGATAGCTCTCGTGCTGGGCAACGGTTCTTATCATGGAGGTATATATATTCTCGCTACGCCCCCATCTTCAAGTTGTCTTGGCGTGCCTCTTCCATCAACCTCATCTCTTCTTCTCGGATTGAACAGCATCCATTGCTATTGTCCTAGTCACCTCGTCGTCATGAGTAACCCAGGTGCATTGGCCCTCGAAGGAGGCGATCCTCGAAACCCTAATCATCTTCTTACCGGTGGTCAAGATGTCGTTGAGAAGCAATTGGTTCATAACACCCATGATCCAAGTGTTTCTTTCGAGGAGTACATGTACTATGCGAGTATCACGCGAGCTGAAGAAGTCGAAGCCGACCAACGTTTCAGAGCAATGCAAGGACCTAAGACAGCCAAGTCCATCCTGAAGAATCGTTTCTCTACCGGGAGGCGGGAAGCGGCTGCTGCTGAATACCCTCATTCTCCTAATGAGCTCACTAGCGAAAAGAAGGAGTTGGATGGTAGTTCGCCAACACGAAACCTTGGTGGTGTGTCTGATTCCGAGTACAAGACTGCAAGCCGTGCAATCAGGACTGCTGGATGGAGTAGTGCTTTCTTCTTGATCACTACTGATATTCTGGGCCCTTTCAGTGTTCCGTAAGTTTCAAATGCCACATAATTTTTCTCATGTTAATCGATTATAGGTGGGCTTTCGCTCAGATGGGATATGGTCCAGGTATTGCGCTTTACACTGTATTCGGAGGCTTTGCTATGTAGTAAGTTTAATTTCTTCGCTTCTACTAGGTCTGATACTAATTGCAATAGCTCCGGGTTCCAACTCTGGAAGATCTTTTTGGCCCTGGATTCTGACAAGTATCCAATGAAAAGTTATGCTGATCCTTTCTTTCGTATCTATGGACGATGGGCTCGTCATGGTGTCAACCTCCTACAGTCTGTCCAGCTTCTGTTGACAGTCTCCGCCCTAATTCTTGGAAATGGACAATCGATCTCCCAGATTTCCAAGGGCACAATCTGCTTTATTGCTTGCCTGATCATTTTCATGGCTGCTGGTATGGTCTTAGGCCAAATCCGAACTTTGCAAAGATTTGGATGGTTAGCCAACTTCGCAGTCTGGTTGAACTTGCTTATTCTGTTCATCTGGTCAGTTCTACTTCTCCGATATTTAGTCTAAAATCTAACATAAAACCAGCATGGGAGTAGCAGCCAACTCACCACCAAACTTCTCCGCAACCCAAAAGTCCTATGGCGATGACTTCGGCCCAGGTCCTATCCATCGTTACGCCGGTACACCTCCAGATGGAGCCGCATCCGGTGGAACTGGCTTCACTGCCTCCCTCAACGGTCTCAACCAAGCCGTCTACTCCTACGGCGGCGCCATGCTCTTCGTCTCCTTCATGGCCGAGATGCGCCACCCCTTCGATTTCTGGAAGGGAATCCTCATCGGCAACATCTTCATCTACTGCGTCTACCTCTTCTTCGGAGTCTTCATGTACTCCTACCAAGGCCAGTACGCCTACAACCCCGTCATGCAAGGTCTCTCCCCATACGCCTGGCAAACCGCAACCAACATCATGAACATCATCACCGGTCTCATCGCCGCTGCGCTCTACGGCAACATCGGCATCAAAGTCATGTACGTCGAAGTCCTGCAAGAACTCTTCCACTTCCCACCCCTCACCACCAAACGCGGTAAGCTCATCTGGGTCGCCCTTGTCCCGGCATACTGGGCACTCGCGTGGGTGGTCTGCGCCGCCGTCCCGCAGTTCTCATACATTACCGGTCTCATCGCCGCAGTTTGTATTCTGCAATTCACATACACCTTCCCCGCCATCCTGGCCTTCGGCTTCCAGATCCGCAAAGATGCAATGCTCCCAGCATCCGAGGCTTTCAACCCGGAAACCAAGACATACAGCTACGTGGACACGGGATTCAAGAGATGGGTTAGGGGGTTCAAGGTTAAGTGGTGGCTTAACGGGTTTAACTTTATTTACTTCCTTGGTGCGTTGACGACGGCTGCGTTGGGGATTTATAGTAGTGCGATTGGGTTGAAGGATGCTTTTAGTGGGGATAGCGTTGCGACTTCTTTTGGGTGCGCTAGTCCTGCTTAGAAGTTGATTCTGTTTGTGCGTTTGGCATGGGTCATGTATTGTTGTTGGGTTAAGCGCTTCATTGAGATGGAAAGATGAAATTACGTCAATAGTTGGAGTTAATTATACCGAATTTACCTCGTCTGTATTTCGAATATGACATGTTGCTGAATCAAGTATTTATTGACCGATTACCCTGTTCTTGACAAACGTGTTAGGAAATGCAAAACCAATTGGCCGTGGGCGTGGCTCTCCTAACATACACATGGTTATTTGACTTGTACAACAGGAACAAGTACCACCACCGAGAACATCTTCCTAAATTCAGCAGCTTACACTCAGCACTTACAATAAACATTATCGAAGCCACTCACTTCTGCTATCATCTAATATTACAACGATATCTAACACGCAAAACTACCAACGTACCACAGTACGGTCAAGATAAACCTCTCCTACCGCGCTACTTCATCATATTGGAGGCGCATGTGCAAGCTCGTTGCAGCTATACCACAACACTTAAATGTGGTTTAAATATGGCATCAGCTCACCGAGTATCCTTTTTTTTAGGTGATACGCTCAGATGTTTCGACTTCCTAATTTGCTCCGGGGAAAACATCTTAAGAACTTCAGTATTACAGTCCAACAACAACTAGAAGAACACGGATGCAATAACATAAGTGTAATAACATTAAGACCCTTTGAAATTTTAATCACAAGAGACACTTTTACAAACTCGGTAAAATCAATTCAATTACGATATATTATTCATATCCACAGGCCTTATATCCCACCTATTTCATGAGTCATGATATCATAACCTCTCAACGCCAAATGAATGCCGATTCCCAAGCGAATGCTGAATCTTTAGATGATCCGTCCGTCTCTTTATCTTAATAATCGCAGAAATCAACAACGTATCGCTGAACGCCATTCACGAATTACATTCCCGTCTCTCTCAACCCCAATACGACTTCCTCCTCTTATTTACTCGATAGGAGCAAAGAATCGACTAGCCTCTATAATCTGCTCGTCGCCATTCGCAAAATCCCACCCTACGATAACGCTAGTTTGGGAGCAACAGATGATTCTCCTTGCGTCGAATTGGAGTTTGAACACGCGTGCCATATTTGCTGTGATAGCTGGGTGTGCTGGAGAGGGACCTGGACCTGGGCCCGAGCCCGGGTTTGCAGCCGGGGCTGTCGTTGTTGTTGGACTTGGATTTTGAGCGGTAGGTGAGTTTGTGTTTGGAGCCGTAGCTAAGTTTGATGCGACGATAGGCGAGGAGGTAGGAGTTTGTGGCTGTGGCTGGGTTTGAGATTGTACTGGAGTCTGTGGTTGGGGTTGAGTTTGAGCTTGGATTGGTGTCTGTGGTGGAGGCTGGGAAACAAATGGTGTCGGCGGTGGAAGAATCTGTGCTTGTTGCGGAAGCGGTATAATAGGCTGTGGAGTTCCTGCTAGTGGAGGGCCGCCCTGTTGTGAGTGGATTGCTTGAGATACAATAGTTGACATGGCTGGTTGGGCTGCTGGCGGAAGAGCTTGAATTGCGATCCCCAAATGCGGATATGTGAGCATTTGAGGATGCATTTGAAGCGCATTACGTAAATGAGGTGGTCCTTGAGGGACAACCATGTTGATCAGTTGTATATAGAACGAAGCTGGCTGTAGTCCAAAAGCGGGTGGAGGGATTGCTGTCACTGCAGTATCAACAGTGGTAGTCGTGATAGCTGCCGCAGGTGGAACTGCCGGTTGAGGAGTCGGAGTATTTGGAGGTGGCAGAGCGTTTGCATAAGCCCTCGCTCTGATGTGAGCTGCTCTTGCGGCTACTGTAGCTGCGTCTTCTTGCCGAAGGGTATGCTGTGCTCGCCAAACTCCTTCCTTGTCCCGTCTCCAAATGATGATGGTTTCATCATACGATCCAGAAACAATTCTACCAAATCGCCCTCCACCTCCACCTGGTGGTAGCGTAGCCCCGTAAGCAGTTATATCCTCTGGTTTCCTCGACCCTGCATTTTTCGGACGGCCTCTTTGGTGGTACATCTCCTGGGTTATAGCTCCAGAGTCTACAGCTTTGAAATACTCAGCGTCAATCTTCTTGGCAGTCTCCTGGTCCTCTTCAGAACTGTACGGTAAATCACCGAATCCTGCTTGAACTGTACGGACAAGGTTGGTATGAGCTCTAAGACTTGCAACCTCGAGTGACGTCTCCTTGTCGAATACCTTCACCTCATTGTCACTACTACCACTGACGATCCGGCGACCATCATACTGAACACAAGCAATTCCTTTAGTATGACCAACCAGGGTACGGGTGCATGTTTGTTCCCGCCAATTCCAAACCTTGACAGTTCGATCTCCAGAAGCGGAAACCACCTCATCACCATGAATTTGAACAGCATTTACGGCTGCTTGATGTCCTTCCAGGCACCCAATCATGGTATAGGGTGCTTTCCAAATTTTGCCATCGGCAGGTGAAGGGTTGAATCCATAGTTGTTAAGAAATGTAGGGACAGGATGAACAGCATCAGTGGAGCGAATGTCCGGATCCCCGTGATAGATCGCCCTGCGATTGAAAATCTTGATAGTCTTGTCCTTGGAGCAGGTGATCAAAACACGCTTGTCAAATCTGACGTTGAGTACTGATTCACGATGGGCCTTTTTTAAACGTTGTAGAACCGTACCCGTTGAAAATCTCCATAGCACAACTGTCGCGTCACTGCTTCCAGAGACTATCAAATCCTCGTCAGGATCTGCGTCGAATTGTAGACAAAGGACGGATCCATTATGTGCTCTTAATGGAGCCCTGACCAATCGTTGGGTATTCAGATTCCATATGCGAAGAGTCCTATCCCTACTTCCACTCACGAGATATTTTCCACAATGCTGTATGGTGTATATGCACTCTTCGTGTGCCTCCTGGGGGAAGTCGGGATGAGGTAGTTGAAAGTTCGTATACTTCTCCGCCTCCCAGTTTGCTTCCAATCTTCTCCTCTGGGAATACAAGTATTGCCAGTTAAGCTTCTTCTTCCCATCGCCTCTATCCATGACGACCAGCGAAGACATATTCGACACGGGACCAGAATAGCGAGAATAGGAGTTCTTCCCAGAACCCGAACTGATGGATAACCGCTGCGTACGACTAGGTAGACTGTTGTCCGCTGATCGGCTGTTGGCAGCTTGAACGAGAGAGTCCGAGGACGTTCCTCCGACTTGAGTATCAGAATGAGATCTTCCTATCAGCGGCCGAGAATCTTTTGGCTCAGATGTAAGCGGCCCAAAAATCGATGATGTTGTGGGCATATGCGGATCAGCATCCACCATCTCATAATCATCGTCAGCACTCAACGTTGGTAATATTCTCTGTGGTGTTGCCCGCCTCTTGCGCGCGTGTTCATCATCTGCGATCATGGGTCTTGCTCTATCATCGGCGTTGATCGCAGCCTCAAAGTTCACTACCTCTGATCGGATTACTCGGAAGCCTTCCAACAAGTACAGCTGTTCCCATAACTTTCTGTCTAATGCGAGCAGCATCCATTCGCGAGAGGCTCTAGCTGTATGTATCAAGGATATCGGATCTAGGAAACCGAGAATCTTGAGACAGACTTCTGGAGGAAGGTACTGGAAGAAGTTTATATATAGTCGGGGGCTTAGTCGTTCGACGATCTCGCAAACTGCGGACGTCGGAAGTTGATTGATGAGTCGCATAACATATTCTATTTCACGTCAGCCTCAGAACGACATCATCTCAACATCGCACCCACCTGTGCGGTCTTTGGTCGTCATTCCAGGGGGCCATGATGGTGTGGAATTCAAAGCGACCTCCATCGTCAGCGGGTCTTCGCTATAACCCTCATCTTGGGGCGATTGTTCATATCCCGCCATGGCGAATGATGGACAGGACAGATCCGTCGTGCAGAAGGATGCCTGTATCGTGTCGCTCTATATATCCCGGGTACGCGAAAGTCATCAGCAGTTGAGATGTAGTTGGAAAGTGATTTGCGGCGCAGGTGGATGGTTGCGTAGGGAATTGTCCGTGAGGAGAAAGAACCGTCCGTCGTCTTGGGTCCCACAGCGAGGCTGAGGAACGGGTGAGGATGGCTGACCCGATCGAAGTAAGAGACGCTTGTCTGCGGTCGCTAATCTAAGCGTCTTGTAGCATTGACCGTATGGCGCAAGACAGAGTGACACGGATAACCTTAAAAGTATATCCTCACTTTGCACAGCAAGACAAAACAGGACCGCGAAAGGAAGGAGAGTGGGCGTTCAGAACCGGTAATGAGATTGTTGATGTTGTGGTCATGCATCTTTTCGAGCAATCAGGGTCGTGTGTCGTGGCTGACGATAAAGCGGCACGAGACGGTCAGAGCCAAAATGCCCCGCCGCCTTTTGACCCCTCCATCAATGCGAGACCCTGCCATCACAATCACGTGCTCATGAGCCGGCGCCTGCAGCAGCTTCTTTCAGGTCCACCAGGCCAGCGGCCACAGCCAGTGGACAGCGCTCGCATAACTCCTTGAGACATCTTCCACGAGACGACGACAGGATCAAAGGAGCCAGCCAGGGAGACTTTCACCGTAAACTCGACAACAACACCACATCCCACCACCATAGAACGGACATACCCAGACCAGTCGCATAAGATCGTTTGAACACCTACACCTCGCACATTGCACCACGCTCCACGTCGGCGGCTTGAATGCCGATTTCGACCCTTCGCCCCCTTTCGTCTCTCAGTTGATGTCCTTCGGCGGCGGCATCGCCATTGCAGGAATGGCACAGGCTCATGGACCTCTTTCGAGAACGAACACGGCGCCGGTATTCAACAGTGGTAGAGCTGCGAGCGGTCTCTCTGGCTTGAGTCAGACCATGAGCCACAACTCCAGCTCGAGGTCGTCACAGATGTCGGCGCCCTCCGCGGCCTTCTCCTCCACCACATCTCTATCCACAATGTCAAATCCGAATCCTCTTCAGTCGGCGACGAGTCAGCCAGCTGGCGGTGGGCTGCCAGCTTCGGGGCCGGTACAGACAAATAATATCATCAATCAGAAAGCCGACGCGTCGAGGTCTCTCTACCAAATATGTGTGGCTTTGAGAAGTCGATTAGAGCAGGTCCCGGGCTTCGACAAGCACTTGAACACGATGGCAGAGCAGGATGGCGCAGATGGAATGGATCCGGTCTCATCGCTGTGGAGGTGTCTGCGGAAAGGATTTCCGTTGTTAACGATATATAATTCTCTACAACCGCCGAGCCCTCTACATATGGCCGAAGAATCGATGCCCGAAGCACAGTGGCCCAAGAACTTACCTAAAAAAGCCGCATTTATGTTCGTAAAAGCTTGTCTGGAGGGAGAATTGCATATTGATCCTGGAGAGTGTTTTGCACTCTCAGATTTATTTGGAGATGATACGACTGGATTCGTAAAGGTCCGTACCATTTTATTCAGCCCCTAGAGATCTCCGCTGGTTGTTTGTTCGCTGGAAGCTCTGTTTTAAGTTGCTTCGAGCGAATGAATGCCTCGGCAAGTGAGGCACGTACTCTTAATCACAATGAGCCCATCTACGAGCTCATTCAAATTGCCGCAAGCCTCCCTTCTTAACAATGATCCAACCCCACTTGCTTTGATTCTGTCATTTTTATCGTATCCATGTTTCAGCACGCGATGTCAAGGTTTTCGGTTTCGTCGCCTGACCTTCAATCCGAATTGGCAATCCAACAAACTGCTGTTAAAAACAAGTTCAGAAGGCTAAAGAAAAACGTTCGAAAACAGGTCACCCAGGTCGTCAACAAGGTGCTGGATAACTCTGAGGCGCGGGGACTTCTTGTAGCTTCAACGACGAACGTTCCTTTAACTTCTGCGCCACTTCCCTCAGGAGCGCAAAAGAGCTATCGAGATTACGTTGTAGCGGAACTTGTCGATACGGAACGGAAATATGTACAGGATCTCGAAAATTTACACGAGCTCAAAAAGAAGATTGAGCAGAAGGGAGTCATTCCCGGAGACGTGGTCCACGACATTTTCCTAAACATCAACGCTATATTAGATTTCCAGAGGCGCTTCCTGATCAAAATTGAAACCACAAACTCACAACCGGACGATCAGCAAGCATGGGGTCTTCCATTTACTAACTACGAGGAATCATTCAACATATACAGACCTTTTATTGCAAACCAGCGAAAAGCAGCGGACATTGCCAAGAGAGATTTCGATAAAATCGTATTGGCGGATCATCCAGTTGTTGTTGACTTTAATACTTTAGATGGATTCTTACTCAAACCAATGCAGCGGCTGGTTAAGTATCCCATGTTGTTAAAGGTGAGTTCCGATTCATTTGCTATACATAACCATCTACTCACCTTCACAGGATTTACGTGACAAAACGAATGCGGATGATGCGACGAAAGAAGATCTTACCGCAGGTATAGAAGCGGCAAACCGTGTTTTAAAAGAAGCCAACGATGCAGTCGACCAAGAACTACTGCGCGAGGCCCGAGAAGATATGGAATCACGTGTCGAAGATTGGAAAAATCATCAGATTGAACAATTTGGAGACCTGTTACTCTATGGTCATTTCCCAGTTGTAAATGGCAAAAGCGATGGTCAAAAAGAAGTACGAACCCTCACCTCACCCCTTAGTTCTTCCAATGTTCAAAAATTTGCGTCTCTTCGGCTCTTCAGAGATTCTACGACGCGCAAGGCGCTAGATTCGACTGAGCGACAGAACATTTCATCTCTAGAGCAAAGTGCAGAAGACGCTCAATCAGAGGCGCTTCTAGCACTTGATCAGAAATCCCATGGTAATGACCAGCGTCAACTCACCAATGATGATACATTTCTATTCAATATGCTCTTTGATCAATTCTCAGGCTGCGACCCCGAAACTGGTGCCCCAATTTTTGCGAAACGATTTGCTGACAGTATGGGCATCACTGCCCCAACCTATGAACAGTATACAATTTATCTTTTTGAGCGAATCCTCCTCTGCTGCAAAGAAATCAACCCGAACAAGTCGAAAGACAAGGTAATGGGAATTCAGAAGGACAAGAAAGACAAGAACAAGTCGAAAGAGCCCAATAAGAACGCCAAGCTACAGCTTAAGGGTAGAATTTTCATGACCAACGTCACAGATGTCATTGCTCTTGGGAAGCAAGGTAATGTGCTCAGAACTCTACCCAACGAAGCCATGCTGACTCTCGCCAGGTTCATACACCGTCCAGATCTTCTGGAAAGGTGACCCCGGAGTTGAGAACTTCATCATCCGTTTTTCTAACGAGGATGCGATGAAAAAGTGGCATGCTGGAGTGGATGGGCAAAGGAAGCTCCACGCTCAGGCGATTTCTGCTGGATTTAGCCCAGAGGGAGGACCACCAACAGACTTCGCTTGGATGCGAGATCAAACTGCGGCAATGATAAATCCATATGCTCAACATGAAGATGACGATGACGAAGACGACTATAGAGCTCAGAATTCTATGTATCCTGGGCAGATGAACCAGGGCATGCCGCGAAACGGATCAAGTACTAGCCTGCGATCGAGGTCTACAACATCGGATAGCAGCCAGTCGCTTGCTGGTATTGCCCGCGCGCCCCCACCAAGATTTCCAATGGGTTTCGCAAACCAGCCTTTGAGTATTCAGACCCAGATCAATCCTGCGCAGTCGCCAGGACAGAGAATGGGCGACTCTTACTTTTCACCTGTTGCTGAGACTCCTGCTACTTCTAGGTCTAGTACCCAATCCAATATGTTTCCATTTCCCAGACAAGGGACACCGCAAGGCAGTTGGGAGGAACACAATCGTTACACTGCTCCTGCCATGCCGCGAGCGCCCTCGAGAGGTAGTCAGACTCCGAGCGATGCATATGGCATGAATGGCCGTACCCCTCAGCGGCCTTCTCTTCCCGCAATGGCTTCTCAGTCATCACAGGCGAGTGCAAACCTGCAGCGCAGTAGATCGCACAGTACCCCTGACATAAACGTTCAGAACGGGGTGCGCAGACTTCCAAACGGTGCAGTTAGCGGTCCAGTCCCTGCTGTGCCGGGCATACCTGCTCATCTGCACCCGGCATACGATGCAGGTATACCTCGATCTCAGAACAATTCCCCAAATGGTTTGCCCATGAGATCCAACACTCAATCACCTGGCACACAACGAGAACGCATGGGAACACCTACACAATACCCCAATGGTCCTTCGCACTATTCGAGAAGTAACATATCTCACAGACCAGACACTTCGGAGAGTAGGACCATGTCCCCTCCCCTTGGTGAAGCAGCTCTACCAACTCAGCTCAAGGTCAAAGTCAACTGTGACCAACAATACATTACCTTGGTGGTAGCATTTAACATTACCTATCAATCGCTGATTGATCGCATTGATGCGAAAATTGGAAGGTTTTCCAATAACGCGATTGCTAAAGGTACCATGAGATTGAGGTACCGAGATGAGGATGGTGATTTCGTCACCATCGAATCAGACGATGATATCCAGATTGCTTTCCAGGAGTGGCGAGAGGCCCAGAAGGCCCAATATCATGCTGGACTGCTTGGTGAAATTGAGCTTTTCTGTATCAGTGTCGAGAATTAGAACGTTTGCAGCATATTTAAGGCCGTTTAAATGGTATATTCATGGACGGAGTTTTATGATTTCACGTCGAGACGATTTGGGATGGTGGGCAACAGCTCTTGAGTGGGTTTATGGTTTTTAACATGGTGTATTCGGAGTCTTTGCTTCTATTGAAGTTTCTGGCGCCTGTTTGTGGATGAACGGACGGTCGTAGGTAGGCGGCGCTTCACTTTGTTCAGCACTGAAACATTTGCTGGCCAATTGATAGAATATGAGATTAGCGACACAAAGAAATTTTACAGAGAATACTTCAGAACTCGATAGACATGCTCACCATCTCAGTGATATCATTCATACACACGAGGGCGGGCCATACACCAGTGATGCATCTGTTTTTCCTGTTTCGATTTGGGTCATTAAATGCCACGTCCAACTCCATGTATATTTTCATATTGCACTATGCCATTGTACAACCCATAACGCCACGAGACCTAATTGATAGCCCTCTATCTGAGATTCTTTCTTACTCTGAATCGTACACCTATGCTTATACACGCTATCCATTTAATCGACTGATCACTTCCTCTTCCTTGGGCCAACAATCTTAGGATACATCCGGGACAAGTGGTGATTAATTGTGTTCTTCTTTTGTGTCTTCGGCCTCTGCAAAATAAAAGCGATCAGAGACTGTCCAGGTACAGGTAGGGGATAGTGTAATAGAGGCTTACTGGTGTGTCCATACACACGCGCAACTGTGTTTCTAGCGCTGCGCATCCTGCCACATTATATCCCGACGACGCCCAGCATGCTAAAGCCGTATTAGTGATATCCTGGGATTTGTATTGCCTGACCTACTCAACACTGAACTCATAATTGCTAAACATGGGTTGGCTTCGCTCTGGTTTGGTCTTCGTACACGCAGTTTTGGCAGAGGGGGCAAGCGCATTGGCGTCAGCGCCGAGGTTCCCTTTGGCGGCATTATGAATGGTCGCTGGTTTTACGAATTGGTCGCAGTATCGTAGGCTTGTGAGTCGTCGCTGGTGATGGGAAGAGACAATCGCTGTATGTGATTCAACTGTACATTGATGTTCCTGAGTTCGTCGAGCTTCAAGATACGTGCACGGACCATAGAGAATAATTATGTCGCGCTACGACTTAACCGGCTAGTGCCGGGAACCTACTCTCTTATTCGTCCACGAAATCTCCATGTCAACAAACCCCGTCAAGCACAACAATACACATTTCATCCTTACGACGCCGAACGTAGAGATATTCTTCATTGGAATTTACTTTTTTGTCTATTAAAGTGGAATCCGCTGGGAACAGTCAATCTTGCACTTAAATCTATCCACTCCATCACTGGTGATTTTGTGCGCGTTTCTGAAATGTCTGGGGGCTTTTCTACCGATGGCTCCAAATGGTACTTCGCGACTTTTGATCTTCACTTGCGATATTATACTTACAAGCTATAGGGGTGTTTATAAAGACTCATTCGCACCGCCACCACCGAGTCGAATAGTAAAGGCATGGGAACGCGCTCCGAGAACAGCAACTGCCCCGCGTTTACACGGTCAAAAAGTCTGGAAAAGACCTGGGCTTCGGTCACACGACAACAAGGAGAATCACGAAGCTGCGCAGGCTGAACTGTTAAAAGGCGGGCTTGGGTCAAGGAAGCGAGCACGTATTCAAGGCGCGAAGGAAAACATCAGTGATCCGAAATGGTTGGATAATGCGGTTGCTGGCGACATCAGTGGGGATGCGCCTGGGATTGTGGAAGATGAGGCTCGATTGTCTAAATCTTGTGAGGAAGTGGATGCGTTGCAGAGGATTCCGAGGAAAAGAACGAACGCGGATCATATTCTTACGCCTCGAAAGCCGCTACAGAAGAGATCCAGCAGCGAAGCCAACCTTGTTCTGAGTCCACTGAAGGTTTTGCTGTCACCAGAGAAACAGAAGAACAGAAGGAAGTCGGTTCGTAAGAGTTTCCGAAGGACTAGTCTTATAAGCCAGGATATACAGGCTGCCAGTCCTCGTCGTGAATCATCGCGGCAATCCGAACTGTTCGATATATCAATGTTTAGCGACGTCGCTGAGCTACCCGAAACAATAGCGACAAACATCATCTCGCCTGTAGTAAAGGCCAAAGTTAATGTACCGGAGATGGAGCATGTAGATTTCAGGGTAGAACTACCTACCGAAGGTACCATCAATACTCCACCCCGGCTTCGAATCGAGTTGGATTCCCAGGAGAAGAGTGTGATAGAATTGGAGGCAGACCTGTTGGCGAGGGAAGAGATGGAAGCAACACATTCGGTTTTTCTAGCGGAGGATAGCAACCAGGCTACTGAGGAATCAGTTGACAACAGCGAGGCTACTTCAATGATTTCTGTGTCCGCTCCCCAAAGTCTGAGGGAGAAAGCTACAGTGGCGACTGTGTCGGAAGAGAAGACTGAAAACGCTGAAAACGAATCCATCTCAGCGCCGCAGAGACATTTTTTGACAACGGACGAGAGTCTTCCAAGTCCGACAGCTGTTAACACACCGGTCAAAGTTGCAGCAAAAAGAAGGCCAGCCACTGAGAAACCTGCTACTCGTCATACCACTCGAGTGACACGGAGAAGTTTGAGGCAGCCAGATCTTTTTAGCATTGAGCCACTCAGGGTCACTCGAAGCAGGAGTCCTCGGAAGAGAGCGGTTCTAGTTGACATCACGCCAGTTAAGATGAAAACTTACCATGAAGGTGAATCTGATTCTGACGATGAGGCAATCCATCAACAGCTGTTTGATTGTCCATCGCCTCGCAAAGCTTCGCGGGATATCCCTTCAGCAGACAATTCAATACCAAACCTCGATCTGTCTACGAAAGAAAATGCAGATGAGTCGCGACAACAAAGTGAGCTAGCTGAGCCAACAGAGCCAAACTCACAAGAGGAAACCAGTGAAACACCGACTAGTAGCAACTCTGCTATGGTCATGGCGTCTGAAGTCCAGACAACTACCGATTCAGTTCAGGCGGAAACGACCTCTGAAGTGCCCTCTGAAATTGACCAAATCCCTGAGATTGATCAAGGCTATGCCCAAACAAATGTCACCCCTCCAAGCGAAGCCGTTGCATCTTCTATTCATGCTGGATCACCTTCACCTGTTCGTCCTGCTTTGGTGCACTTTGAGCCCACAGAAGATGATTCAATACTCTCAAACGACCCCTTCACAGAAGAATGCCAGGAAGATTCTACGCTACCAATCGATGGCTGTGAGGATTTGGAGAGCACCCTTGAATCATTTGAACTCATGGAACCAATAACTATATCTCTGTCGACAAATACAGCTGTCGAACATGGGAGCGAACACGACGATGACGCTTCCGAGGATATGACAGAGAACATCACCGTGGAAGTGGCAGTGGATACCACGCAAGAATTGAAGCTAGGCAGCTACGATGAAGACGATACTGACGTTCTTTTCAATTTCCTCACTCGTGTAAAGGCAGACAAAGCTGCGAAGGCTGATAAAGAACCGATCAAGAGAAAGAGATCATTACCTCATTCTCCTATTCGATTATCTCTCGGCGACGAGGGTGTTGATGAGCTTGCTTCTCCCGAAATTGTCCAGAAAGATCCTTTCGATGTCAGCCTCCCTAGCGAGTCGCCGAAAAAGCGAAGGAAGACAAGTAAAGCACCACGGAATGACGAAGATGGGACAGAGCCCCAGTCATTTAGGAGAAGCGGGAGAACCAGATTGCCAGTGACCAAGTCCATGCTGCCTGCTCCAAACTTCATCTCTATTGGTCGACCTAATGGAGACACTACCGTTAACTTGAAGAAAGACCACGACAGAGAGCTGGCGTCACTCACACGAAACAATACGCGAAAAAATAAGGGAGCAGCTCTTCACCCGCAAGCCCTACTTTTGAAACAAGCAGGCGGAAAGGAGTCTCCAGCCTCGCGTCATAAAGCATTGAAGGAGGTCTTTGACGAAAAAGCACACAAGAAGCAAGGCAAAAAGAAGAAGACTGTTGTCTGGGCCGAGGAATTGACGCAGTTTCAAAGCGTAGAAAAGAAAGAGATCGTCGCAGCTGCACAAGGAAAGAGCGTTGAAGTGGCCAAGGTGGAGATCAAACTCGAGCCAGTGAAGGAACCCGAGATGGTCAAAGAAGCCGCCGCTCCCGTTGAGGAAAAGAAGGAGGCGAAGAAGAGTTCTATCCCTCGTGTAAGTATGAAGAGCAAAATTGCACTTGGAATGGCTGTCAATGGTACACCGGCGAGGAAGATGAGAAAGCGTTTGTGAATAAGTTGCATGATTTCTACCAGGATACTTAGCTTGTCGGTTGTTCGTTGTTTTTGACTATTATGGGTCACGGAGTTGGTCGTTGGCTTGTTGACTTTTGCGCGCATCTGTGGTGTTATTTCGCCCACTGATACCCTTGAATTGAATTATTGTTTTTGAGTTAATCATTTTCGTATTATACAATCTAGCTTTGCTTGTGAAAGGACATGCATTTGCTTTTACAGTTTGATTTCGGGTTCAATGTGCCTCGCTATCTTCATTGAGCCGAGTGTCAACGGCTTGCTACATTATTACGAGTTCTGATCCATGTTGGTTAGTATTGTCGAGGATGGTTCCATATATTTCTGCCACTTTTTGTCTCGTTTCCCTAACTTGTTATTGAACCACGCGCCTAACGGCTGAAGAAGTCCAAGTTGCTGTCAAAGAATACGTATTGACAGTTCTGACAAGGATTTCCACTTAGTTGGAAAATCCTCTGACAATATCTCACATAACATGAGATCTTATCTTACCTGTTATAGCTCGGGACTCATGGGGCGTACTCGGTATGTCATACATCATAGGGATGCGTTGGTGATTGATGTTGCTTTGTACGTGTAAAACGAGATATTCGTTGACGAAGCTGATGCCAGGCTCTGAATATCTCGATGTAGAAGTTATGATTGGGAGTGCTTTCGAGCTGCTGACGTGCAAGAGTTATGCATTTCCAAACTATACCCAAACCTATCTGACTTCAAGAGGGCGGTACTGATTTCAGATGCCACAGTATCATTCATCCATGCTCCCCAAGTCCATTCCCTTGTCCCACTCCACCTCCAGACCAATCTAGCCCCAAAAGAAAATACATACCAACGTGAGGCTCCTCTCATCACCTGCCGGGTCTGCAAAGTCGCATTCCACTACGCCGTACAATAACTGCACGTTCTCAATCCAGCCTCGACCTCTATGCTGTGTCACATCAACCCCCACGCCGCGTTTGATAAAGGTTGGGGGTTCCATTACCGACCACGAGGGTCATGGTGGTGGGGTACTGGAGTAACACCGAGTCGGGCAAGCAGTTGATGCTTTTGACCAAGACGTTTCGACATGACTGCTAGAAATGGAAAGACAATCCCCCTTCCAGAAGCTCAATCTCACGGCTTCCTTGGCTACTGAAACAAGTCTGTTTGCAACTGTCACAACGGACATGCATTGGAGAACCCAATCTGTCCAGCCCGGTATCTGTAGAGGGTCCTTTCGCCTTCCTAAAGTGGTTCGCTGTTACCGACTGCCACCATTGTTCGTGTTTCATACGGTGAATTCCCCATGCGTTTCTTCATTGTTGCGTGCGGAGGATTGAAGACGATCCCCCACGAGGCAATAGATGGCGGGTTCGCCAATGAGATCCTGGGTCTGCAGTTTCTGCGGGCTTTTGGACTTGCCCGGTTTGTGACATCTTGGGTTTATGACAGGTCGGTTTGGAGGTCCCAACTAACTGTTTGCTTGCTGCAGAAGAGCCAGTTATCGTGTCGTATTGTCGTATCTGTTATTCGTGATGTTGGGATCGCTGAATATCGAGATGTATCTCCGATTTGGGCCGTGAGTTTGCTTGATCGTTGGGTCGTTGTGTCTCGTGAGCAACGGTAGGCTCTTGAGATGGTATGTTTCTACTTGTAAGTCGCATCAAGGGGTTGAATAATTACAAATTGTTGTCACATAGCTTTTGTTCGTATTTGAATACTACCACAGATGTTCAAACTGGAAGGGCGTGGGAGTTGCAAGCAGCAGCCGTGTTTTGGCATGAGGCTTGGACCCGGCAGTTGTCTAGAAGGTGGATCAGGGATGCCAGAACACTATGCAACGTGCTCACAGGAATTTGTATGTGATTCCTTTTCACATGACATTATCTTTTAGGGCACATGGTGTAGTCCTACGCGGTGTAGAAGTATTGTAGGCAATCAACGTAAAGCTCAACGGTGTAGAGTTACTCGTAATGCCGCCAATCCTTAGGCTTCTCCTCAGTAAAGTAGCTGCATTCTAGGCGATCCGACGCCGCGGTTACGGAAAGCTCAAACGAAAGATTAGTGTGCACCTTGCATGTCAACCACCCATGACGACTGGACGAGCGAGTCCCGGTGAGATGATACTTGGCGAGAGACAGAGCTCACGAAGAAAGTGAAAGCGAAGAAAGCCTTTTGGTGGATCTTCGACGCATAAGGGGCGTCCTAAGACTCCTTGTTGTGCCCAAAAGGGGATATAGACCGTGACGCCGACCTGTCGGCAAAGACACCGCTCAAGGCGCCCCGTCGTGCCACAATTCAGCTACGAACTTGTACAAAAGTAGGCTCGAGCCAAGTATTTCGTAGGATGCTTCATCCGTCAGATGTGAATGACTGAGGGGTTGGCTCGACGTCAGTGGTTGCAGAGACGCTCAAGGAGACCTTTACCGAACTTGACAGCCTCTTATATGTTGGGTATATTATATGTCAACCATTAGTTCGGAAATCTGCAGCGGTTTGTTGGACTTCCACGATGGCACAGTCGGTGCGAAGATCCAGCACGAAGATTGTTTAGCTCTACCGAAGAAATAATCAGGTCATGTCTTGTATCTCTCTGGTCCATCAACATGGATTCCGGCCCAAAGGAATGAGCTCCATGGCTGTCACGGCCTATCTTGCAACAAATGGCGCAACTTAGCACCACCACGAGGTGACGAGGAGGATAAATGAAGGGTCAAGACAAAACCTGGCGGGTCCACGGTGATGGCCGTTATCAAGCAAAGGTCAAAGCGAAGTTAAATTGTCCACGTGCTGCTGGAATTCGAGTGCCGAGGCGGAGACACAAACAAACCGGCACTCTGCGGCAGAACCAAGGAGGAATGTCTTCTAGAAGGCGATGACGAAGCTAAGAGTGTTACAAAATGATCAAGCACTGCGCTCGTCAACGAGATGGATGTGAAGTCGATGTGTAGCAATGCCATTTTGGGTGTTATTCGTTACTATCGTCCTGCTCTACCTTTATTGGCGATTGGGGCTAAATTCGAAGTCAAAATAAGCTGTAAGCTGATGTGTAGTAAGGCAATGGAGCAAATAGCAATATCCTTTGTTCAAAGTGACTTGCATTTGAGGAGAATAAATGTTCTGGAAAAGAAAAACAATTCTATTGTCTCGTGTCCAACCAATCACCATCATTTGAATACGATGAGTGAATGAGACAAATCTCACGACTCCTTCTTGTCACCTTCCCGAACTTCGCAACTTCCCATCCTTGGACCGTAACATATTCAATCTTTATCTAGAATGCTTGCTTTCTATCAAAGCTTTGTAACCCAGGAGATGGCCGACCCAGAAGACAAGACTGGTAATACTTCTAAAGGTGGAAGACGCTCCGAAGGTCTATTCCGGCAGGTTGAACTTTGGAACCGAGAGTACTTCCCCGCTCAAGAATGGGCTGGTACTTTCAAAGTCAGCAGCGATGCCATTCTGTCCCGTTTGTCACGCTCTTGCAGTTAACACTCGGTTGACAATAATGTTCGTTTCTCTCTTCTGTATAAGACTTCAGAACGGGAATAATCGAAGGGTAAATAAAGTACGTAAGGTCTTCTCTCATTTAAAGTGCGTCAACTACCATAGCCGTGCCACATGGAAGCCATGTTTATTTCTCGGCTACCGAACGAAACGAGCGGGGAAAAAACGTCAACTACTCGGCCCGCTTTCCAACCAGTAGATAACCAAAGTTGACAAGCGTACATCGAGCGTACATGAGGGCGGCGCATCTCTTACCAGCTAATTGTTGTTGGTAGGAGGCAAATCTCCAAACCTTGCTTCGGCGAGATGCTGTTTTCATGTTTTGCGAGCCGGCAGTTACACAAGTACCATGCTCGAAGCGCAATGATTTGACGCTGTCTGGAGATGATCCCAAGGTCTAGGTGCAAGCCATGGCCGCTCTTTCGGCGTGGGAGGGAGCACCCTTGTTACTAGCGGAAATCCTATCACCAAAACAATGAGCAGACAGCCTTCCCCGATCGCTGATTTGCTTGGTTGGGAGAGCTTGATGGAAATAATGATGGTATTTCAATTCCTAGTCAGGGGCAATCGGAGAAGTGAAACTGGACAGTCGACCAACCGATGCCGATAATTGCTACGGTACTTCGGTCATGAATCCCCCATAACCTTGGTGGCTTATCACCAAATGGATGAACGTTGGAGCCTTTGGTTTGGAGGAAGGTTTCGTTGGCCGTCTTTCAGCGGCCGAAAGAGGAAGTGGTTACGCGCTATTACTTATATCCGTATTACTTATTATCCTTGACGTAGGCGGCTAGTCAGCAAGTCCCGTTCAGCGAAACTCAATAGCCAACAGGTCAGCCAACGCTGTCGTGGCGTATCTTCCTCAAAGTATAACATACTTGGCTCTACCCCTCCAACATGCCTCTCTCGACTGCCCAGTCTGCTTGGAAAGTGTATGCACACGCATCTTATCAGTCAAGTCTGCTCATGCGGGCTGCATGAACTGTCCTATCCTGTACACGTGTCTTGCCTTACCGCTGCGTTTTGCCTTGTGCCGGACAGAAGAGCAACCAGTTTTAGGGCAACCTCTTGATGACGGACGGCATTGTTCTGGCAGGGTATTGAGGACTCGGGCAGCAATTGGAGGGGCATTTGAATGGGTACCCCTGTGATGCTTAACCCCGGCGCAGCTGCGAGACTGATGCGAGCCGGAGGATATTTAACTTCCTGGTTTTAGAGTCTTGAGGCCCTTTGGTGGGCCGAAAACTCTATCAAAAACGTACGGTCACAAAGGATGGAAAGTATCGTCGGCTAGGTGAAAGCTTAGAAGGTGTAGGTCGAAAGTACCTGGTGAGTAGAGTAGTCCCTTTTATGCTGAACAAGTTCTTGCATTTGTACCAGCCGTAAGCTATCTCTGTTGTCGATTGTCTAACCCTCCACCTAATGTGAAGCAATGAAACTTCATCAGAAACCTAATCTTCCTCCCATCACATAATGGCCTGTGGTTCTAACTTG